TAGAAAAATCTATTTTAGAGCCTCTTCTAGACTGCCTAGATAATTATAATAAATTTGATTATACAAGGAGATGCTTAAAAGTTCCCTATCCAGACTCCAAATCTGACTAAATGCCAATTTTTTTTTTTTTTTTAATTTCTTCTTGGCTGAACTGAAAACTTTCAGTGCTCCTTGATTATTAAATGATTTGGCTCATTTAGTAACCCTACAAACATTCACTACAGCCTTTTCGGTATCATTCTAATTCGCTAATATCCTTTTTGAAAATATTATGACAATGTCAACTAAGGTTTATTCAAAAAGGGTTGAATTCAGAGGGAGGTAATTCAAAATAGGCAAACCACTTATGCAAAAAGACAATAAAACAAATTTGTTTTAATTGTTGATCAGTATGCATCAAAGTCAAATTTAAAGTGGTCAAATCATCTTTATTAAAAACTTAAAATGACACTTATTCTAACTGGCCTTATTTTAATAAGAAAGTGCAAAAATGAAGACATATATAGCATTATATACATACTTAGGTAGCAATTCTTCATTAATAAAGCTTGTTTAAATGATGTTTTTTTATACATTTGTTTCTTCTGAGTAAATCGGCCTATTAGCCTTCTACTTCTTTTTGGCAAAATTCCAGAGGTTCTAATAAACCCTGAATTAGTTAAGCATATCACCTTGCAGTGTCTCCTTTCAGATAAGCAATATTGCTTTTACTTCTCTAGGTCAACTACTGAAATGTTAGCAGTTATTACTGAAAAAGTCTAACAAGCTTTAGATGATAATGGTGAAGCTCAGGCTGTTGCTTTGGATATCTTGAAAGCATTTGACAGGGTTTGATATATTGGTCTTCTTCACAAGTTGAAAGGTTATGAAATTTCTGAACAAATTTTTGAACTGATTAAATGTTTCTTATCAAATCATGAAATAGATCTTTTTGCATTAATGAAGGCATCTACCATGGCTCTCTCCTTGAACCTACATTGTTCCTAATTTTCATCAATGACCTTCCTGATGGCATCAGATCTAAACTTGGTATCTATACTGATGACACAATTATTTATTCCTGTCTTAATAAGTTCAAGCAGTTTGATACGGTCAAATTCGTAGCTGATCTCAAAAACAATCTACTTTCTGTTGTTAAACGAGGCAAGGAATGAGTTGTTAATGTTAGCACCTCCAAAACAAAACTGTTCTCTCTTAATCATCAGAGAGAACCCTTTTTAGTTTCCATCATCATAGCTAATGCTAACTTCCATGAGAGTTATTCATTACACCTTCATAGGCTAACATTTTCTGCTGTCAAAGTGGAAAGATTATATTGAATCATTTGCTAAACCTGCTGCTAGGAAAGTTGCTTCCCTCTATTGTGCTAGATCATTTTTCTCACCAGAATCTATCCTACATATTTATGAGTTTACCATTCATCCTTGCTTTGAATTCTTCTGCCACATCTGGTTTGGTGCTCCAGCTATATATTTAGAGATTCTAGATAAAATCCAAAGAAACTGCAATGTTATTGGTAATGACCTGGCATCTCAACTTCAATCACTTTCCCATTGCCATAATGTGCATTTTCTATAAATACTTTTGTGGTAATTGTTCTGATGAACTTTACGCTATGGTACCTAGATTTTATGAATTTATGTGCAGTACTAGATTGGTGCCTAAGTACCATCATTTTACAGTTAAAATGGCTAGATGTAACCAAGTTCTATACTAACAATTTCTTCTATTGCACTTCTTGCTTGTGGAACTTTCTTCCCATTTCTTGCTTACCAGTGAACTTTGAGCTTCAAATATTTAAATGCAATGTCAATCATTATCTACTGCCATCTTAATTTTTTTTTCTTTTAATCGCCTCTCTCCTCAATTGTTTTTTTACACATATTCTCCTACACTCATTAATCCTTTGTCTTAATAACACTATTGCCTTGTTTGGGGTGAAATGATTTAATAAAAACACAAAAAAAACACATAGATCAGTATATAATTCATGCAAGAACTGTCTATAAATTTTTGATCAAGCACTTTTAGACTGTCCATTTAGCTATTTTTTAAGAGACAAACCCAACATGGTTGGGGCCAAAAACTGATTATAAATATTAGCAGATATGTTTTAATCTAAATTCTATTTTCTGCATGAAGGCATTTGTGCATTACAATGATGTAACCGACAAGACAATATGCAAGTGAAATGTTTCCTTGAACAGAATATATTCATCAGATTTTAAATCCATTTAAAATCCAAGTAACTCGATTAAAGAAAATCCTAATCAGCTTTTGGTTCTTAATTAAAAAGGACTTCAACAATTTAGTCTTTTTTCTTTTTAAGTTAACATTATATGGTATATGAGTATTATTGAAATGTATTTGCCATATATTAGTGAGAGCAACACCAGTATTCAACTCTATATATCAATATGAGCAGAGATTACATTCTGACTGGATAAATAGCTGCAAATTTATCTGTAAGATAAGGCAGCAGTAAGAATATAATAGGCTGGTAACCCTGGTTTAACATTTTAATGCCTAATGACAATTTAAAGCAGGAAATAATTAAGATTAAACTGTGAAAAAAAAAACAAAAAAAAAAACTAAAGGTAACTATAATAAGGGAAAAATAATAAGTGGTAGATTTGATGATGAACTGTTCACTCCAATGTAAAATACACCCCTGGTCAAAATCTTAAGACCAGATACAAAATGGTAAAAAAAAAAAAAAAAAAAGTATATAAAATACTGTAACTTTAATCAAAATATATTTGTGAAACATTTACATTTAATTAGAAAATGTAGTTTATCAACAAACAAGTGAACATTTTAAGCTTTTAATTGATTAATTTAAACAAAGGATTTTTTTGGTTGGTCATAAAGATAAGACCATGTAAATAAAAATAGCAAATACAGAACAAATGACAATTTAATTCTCAGTATATCTTCCATTTTTGTGAATTACTTCAAAAATTCACTTTGGCATACTCATTATTAACTTCTGTATGAGGGTGCTTGGGATGCTCACCCAGGATGCATAAACTGCAGCATGAAGAGCATCCACAGTTTCAAATTGTGATCAATGTTTATAAACATCCTTTGCCATCCATCCCCAAACATTCTCGATTGGGTTTCGATCTGAAGAGCGTTGTGGATTGCAGCATTGTCCTGCTGGAAAATCCAGTTTTCTCCATATAGATGAGGGCCTTCAGTAATTAGTGATGCCTTTCGTAACATGTCAATGTACCTAGCAGCTGTTTGATGACCTTTTACCTCCTGTAACTCAAGAGTTCCATTGTATGAAAATGAACCCCAGACCATAATTGATCCACCTCCACTGTCAGGTTGAGAAAATTTCTTTTGGGACTTCTTTTGGGACATCTTTTGCATGCCAGTAATACGGAAAACCATCTGAGCCATCAAGATTTAATTTTTTCTCATCTGAAAACAACACTTTCTTCCATTTATCCACATCCTATGTTTGATAATTGGAAGCAAATTGTAAACAGGAAGTGAAGAAGAAGGTGAGGCCTCTGCAGCTGTTTTAAGTTCTTAAACACTTTCTTTTTTAAATGCCGTTGAATTGTTCAAGATCTGCATTCAACATCTGTATTCGCTTTTATCTGATTTCATATTAGGCTTGAATCTCTCTTAACTTCTCTCCTAATGCGTCTGTCTAGAGATGGTGAGATTTTATTGAGACAATCACTTGATTTTTTTTAGAAGCATACGCATCCAGATTTTTAATGAAGTTAGCAAGGACAGTTCTGCTACAGCCAATTTTATTTGCAATGGCTTGTTGCAAAAGACCACATCTTTGAAGTTCAACAATCCTGCCCTGTTCGAACAGTGTTAAAATTTTACCCATAACCATTTTAAAATCTGAAATTTAATACTGGAAATGAGCTACATAAATGTCTACATGACTGAAGACATGAGCACACTGACTAGTTCTAAAATTTTGGTCCAGTAATTTGTTTTTTTCATACATGGCCTTATCTTTATAACACAAAAAATCCTTTTTTCAATGTTTGTTTAAATTAATCAATTAAAAGCTTAAACTTTTCACTTGTTTGTTGATAAACAACAGTTTCTAATTAAATGTAAATGTTTCACAAATATATTTTGATTAAAGTAACAGTATTTTGTATTTTTTTTTTTTTTAACCCTTTTGTATCTGGTCTTAAGATTTTGACCAGGGGTGTATATATGGTTCCTTGTTGCAGCAGAGGGTTTGTGTGTCCCAGTGATCCCAAGAGCAAATCTGTCTAGAGTTCCAGCTCCTGTAGGGCCAACCCATGGTGGTAAGATCAATGAGCGACCAGACTGAACATGACCAACCCTTTAACACCCCAGCAGGAAACTAATTAAGTATAAATGAGAAAAAGTCAAAAAAAGAATGGATTAAAAATAATAATTAAAAGCCATAAAATGAGTTTGGAGAAGATACTAAGACGATTTGAACCTGAAATAAACTAAGTGGAATTCATTAAGATTATATCTTCCCCAACCTACCCAGTTTCTTTGAGGGGGGGAGCAGTATGACAAGATTTATGGTCTTCTAAAATTTCACAAATTCCAAAGAATTCTTGCTATGTTTATTTAAAACACTATTAGGCATCCAACTCTTTAAATTGTTACTAAAAGTTCAAATTTTTATACAAATAACTAAAGATATTCCAATTTTGTAGTTAATATTTGTTTGCAAGTAATTCTTACCTTTCTAACTATATATGCTATTGCCAACTAAGTCAAGAGAAAGAGACATTCTAACAGTCAGAAATAAGTGTTTTACTGTCTAAATAAATACTAATAACAACTAAATATATTGTTAATAATTATGCATTTTATACACTAATTAAAACTTAATATGCAATCCAGTTTGTTAGCAAAACAAACGAGTAAAAAAAATCCATCAGGATCCTCAATGCTAATTTTTCCCCACAAAACAAAATGGATAAATATTTTAAAGTAGCACATCACCAAAAGAAAAAGAGAAGAAAAATACTCACCCAACCAAGAGATTCCATTTGTTGAGGATGCAAAAGACCCTGAATTCCATGGTAAACAGAAAGCCCGGTGCCAAAACAAAAAATGCCCACACCACTGATAAGTGAACTTATGTGCCGTAAATTCCGATAGCCATACCTTTGAAACAATATTAAAAAAAAAAAAAAAAAAAAAAAATATTTTGAATACTAATATGTAAATTTTAACAAAATATAGAATTTTTTAAATCAAAGATGTTTTAAGGAAAGCAAAACATTCACTCACAAAGTATATAAAGTTAAAATATAAAAAAACTGAAAAATATTTTATATTCTTTTTTGTTTTTTTAATTTCACATATTTTTAAAAATACACATTTTAAATGTATTAAATGAAATCAAAATGAAATTTTGTGAACAAAACATTACAAATCTCACAATTTTAAATATAATTTAAAACATGAATTTTAAACATGATTGTCAAAATGTACTAATAATTTCATTAATATTAAAATTTTAAATGAGATAATTTTTCCAAATCTAGAGACTATAATGTTATAAATACTCCAGGTACATAAAAGTATTCAGTCTCTGGTTATGATACAATATTAGTATGTGCATAAAACAAATAAACTAATTGAAACTCACGGATGTACACCATCAGGTTTCTTTGTAGAGTGATAAAGGCCAATTCCAAGTAAAATCTGAATAGAAAAGTTTTATCATAATCGTAAATAAAATAAAGTCTTTAATTCTTTTCTATTTACTAAAATGGCGAAAAATTCATGAAAATTATCTGTATTCATTTATCATAAAATGTAGAACTTAGTTTTTAAGAATTGAGACTTTAAATATAGCTAGATAGCTACGAGAAGGTACTGAAAATATCTCAGTTTGATCCATTGCCCAAAATCTGACCAAATGACCAAACATTTTTTTTGGAAGTGCTTTTTGGTCAAGCTAAAGAAGTTTTCAGCACCCCTTGTATTTTTTATCTATATTGTCTAAGTGTCAGTAGACAAGTAAGTATGAAAGATTACGTACTTTATCAGAATTGGAAAATTCTTTTTAGAAACTTGAACACAATTTCTACTTTTAAGAGAAAACTAAACTGGCCTTTGACCTTATAGTTCAAGAACTATATAAGCCAGCTTCATGAGTGAGATAGTTAAATATTTACAACTGATAACAGTGATCAATGTTGAAAAGTAAAAAAACAGAAATTCAAATGCTGAGTTTTTAAGCAGGTTGGTCCTCATGACCAAAAAGATGGCACATCACAATTTAGACTAAGCTGAGCTTAGTAAATATAACATGCCAAGGATATTTGCATATCTTTTGTCTCTTTCTGATGTGACAGAGTTATCTCCCTTGCATTGGTGACAACAAATGGTAGTGTCTTTGTGACAATGGAAAATTATTTCATAATGTTTATGAAGCTGGATGGTAAAAAAACTAGGAAAAGAAAACTAGGAAAGAAGAATGCAAAAGTAATTAAAAATTATATTTAACTTCTAATAAAAACTTTTAAAAAATATGCAGTTATGTTTGACAGCATGGGTAAACTAATATATGGCAAATATATTGTAGGCTATATATATATATATATATATATATATATATATATATATATATATATATATATATATATATATATACACACACACACATATATATATATATATATGCGATGAATAAATTGTCGCCATTTTATATTTTTAATTTTATGCACGTGCATTGTTTGTTTTTGATTGTCGACTCCACAGTATAGTAGTGTCAGTTGAGAACTGTCTGTGAGAAAAAGAGCACCATGAAACAATTCAGTCTGCCAGAAATTTGGAAACGGCATGCTGTACTGCTTGGCATTTGCACCAGAAACTCCAAGAGGAACATTTCAGAGTGTTTGGGTGTCAATCTGAGAACAGTGCAGAGGATTTGGAAAGAGTTAGATGAGTCTAATAGTGATTACAAAGATACATCATCTTTGAAAACTCACTCTGATCATTCTGGTAAGAAAAGAACTCCCAAATTTGTTGGTGAGATCCAGATCATGATTGACAATGATCACTCTAAGTCAATCAGGTCCATAGCCAAAGACACAGATAGGTAATGAATGAAGACATTCGGTATTCAAGAGAAAAGACCACGCTGCAAAGTTTTTGAACAAACTCAAGCATCCCCTCCAACCGAATATGCTTTGGTTTTTCTCAGACAAGAAAATTTTCTGCCAGGATAACATGGTAAACACAGAACAACTATTGACTTGCTGTGTCCCCAAAAGATGTACAAAGAGTGATGAAAACCAAATATTCAGTCAAGATCATGGTGTTTGGAGTGATCGCTAGTGATGGCAACGTTATGCCTCCATTCATCTTCCCACAAATGTCTTGAAGAGATAGTACTGGAGAACCCAGTCTTAGCTGTCAGAAAATTTCTGCAACCACATCACCCCTTACATCTGGACACCTAACTCCCCAGACTGCAACGCCCTTGATTATTATGTGTGAGTCGCAGCAAAAAACTCCTTGTAATACTAAAGATGAATTGAAGGCAAGGATTATGGCAGCATTCACCAACTTAAACAAGGAGACAGTCCAGAAGAGTTACAGGAGATTCCGAAGTTATCTGGAGACTGTGGTTGAAGCCAATAGCAATTTTATTGAATAAATTTACTCTATAGTATTTCAAGATATTTTTGTGTAATTTTGGTAAATATATCTGTTAAAATGAGATGTTAGTGTTATTTTCATTTTTGCATAATTTAGATGACAATTTATCCATCGCACTCTCTCTGTGTATGGAGGGGTATCTTCTATATAATAATGCGAATGTCAGTTTGTCACCGTGTCACACTTATTCAATTAAAGGGATACAAATCTAACTTTCAATAGCTCATGTTACAGAAATTTTGGATTCCCAAATTTTCTTGACTGCGATTGTTTTTGGCAATGTTTTACAACAAATTTTTTTTGTATAATAACAATTTTTATAACTTGGAAATAAATTTGGGGATAATTGTATTTGATTGCAAAATCCAACAAATGTCACCCATGAGATAAAAATAATTGTTTGTGCAGAAAGTAAGGGCCTACATATATCAAATTGTCTTTAAATTAAGTGGCGGAAGATTATTGTTGAACTTTTAAAAGGTAAGCTTAAATATTAATGCAATACTTAAATGCAGCAATCAATTTTGAGTTATTCTGTAGTTTATTGTTGCCTATAGCATACAGCAACAATATGCCTTGTAAAAAGAAATCTCCGCCAACAGAGGACCAGACTGCAATCAAGGCTGCAGTGAGAAAAGTCCTGTGCAAATGAAAACTCAGATCAAACGGCAGCCAGGAGAGCTTCCAATCCTGAGAATATGCAAAGAATTAGGCACTCTCAAGCTCCTCAACAAGCCAGAGGCCCAATTAAGAGCCCTCCACAGGAGCTAGCTTAAATGCCACCCAATAGGGCATCTTTTATATATATATATATATATATATATATATATAGAATGAGATGGAAAGCTTACTTCTTTCTTCAAGACAAGGAACCAGTGTGTGAACGTGAAAATTATGGTTTTAAAAGCCTAAAACTGCACCTATTATTAAGGAATTATCTGCTTTTGAAAATGAACTAATGGATACTGTCAAAGGATTAACCTTCTATAGGTATAAAAAATGCTTTTCAAAACATCTCTAAAGTATTGTCAGTGATATTAATAAATCTGGTGATATGTACGTTAAATCCATTAAAACGGCTAACTTTTTATAAGTTATCGCCTAAGGATTATGATACTTTAGTTAAGGATAGTCTAACCAGAAGCTACCAAAAAATTGATACTAGTAATTTCAACCAAGTAAATAATATCAACAGTATCAGTAAATCAATTACTGATAAATTAATAATTAGTGATCGGGTAGGCAAACTACAAACTAAGGAAGCCTATGTCTTGTTAAAGGACCATAAACCCGAATTCAAAACTAAGCCATCCACTAGACTTATAAATCCTACAAGACCAGAAATCGGTAGGATTAGTAAGACCATCTTAGAAAGAATCAACCACTCCATAAAAACACCCTTGGACTGCTACAGTGGATTAACACAAATGATGTCATCAACTGGTTTAACAACATACGATATAAGGGAAAATGTTCATTCATACAGTTCGATATTATCGACTATTATCCCTCTATATCGAAGGATCTTTTCACCTTGGCATTGGACTTCGCCGGAATATTCTACTATTTCTGAGTGTGAAATTGACATCATTATGAAGTGTCAAAATTCTGTTCTAATTTACAAGGATGAACAGTGGACAAAAAAGTCTTCCAACAACAATTTTGACATTTCCATGGGTTCTTTGGATTCTGCTGAAGCTTCGGACTTGGTTGGATTATTTCTTTTATATAATTTAAGTGCCTTTGATTGTCTAGATTCAGATAGTGTAGGATTATATAGAGATGATGGATTATTAGTTGTTAAAAACTCAACTAAAATTAAGGTAGACCGTATTAGGAAAATGATCTATAAAGTATTTAAGGATTTAGGTCTTAGGACTATAGTTACTACTAATGTTAGACAAGTGGATTTTCTAGATGTCAACTTAGATCTTGCTAACAATATTTTCCAACCATATATGAAGGTTAATTCCAACCCATTATACGTGCATCCTAATTCCAACCATCCCCTTCGTTATCAAACATATACCCTCTTCCATTGAATTTAGAATTAGCGCTAACTCTTATAATAAGGAGGTTTTCAATAAACATAGTGATTTTTATAATTCTGCACTAAAAAAAATAGTGGATACAAAAATACCACTATTCAATACAAAAACCCTGTTAATTGCAACCATAATAAGAAAAGAAGATCTAGAAAGATTATTTGGTTCACTCCCCTTTCAATGTTATGGTCAAAACTAAATTAGGGCGTATATTTCTAAATCTAATCAAAAAACATTTCCCCAACCCTGAAACTAACCCACTTAGTAAAATATTTAATCCTAATACCCTTAAATTAAGCTATAGTTGTGCTGATAACCTGGAGCAGATAATTAAAAACATAACAACATAGTCTTTAACAAGTATAGAAATTCAAAAGGCTTGACTAATCAACAGGTTACTAACTGCAATACTAATTATAAGAATACTAATAACAACTTATGTAATTGTAGGAATCCGAATAATTGTCCACTACAAACTAACTGTGGAATTACTTCTGTAGTCTATCTTGGTACTATTTCAACAATTGAAAATCCAAATATAAAGAAGTTTTACATTGGTTCTACCATGAAAACATTCAAGGAACGCTGGCGGGGCATATGCAATCCTTTAATCACAGTGAATATAGGTACATGACTTCATTATCCAAGTATTTTTGGAATCTAAAAGATAAGAACAAAACTCCTACGGTTAAATGGAGTTTGGTTAAGAAAGCTCGTACATGTAACTCCCTATATACCCCATGTTACCTATGCCTTTAATGAAAAATTTGAAATTATTAGATTTAAAAACAAGGCTGATCTCTTAAATCAAAGATATGAACTTACAGTAAATTGTAAACACCGTTATAAATTTAACTTAGTGTAGGGTCGATACTTTAAATGATAATGATATGTCGCTGTATTTTTAATAGATTAGTGTTTTTATTGCATGATGGTCATACTTACGATATAAGTGTGTATTGTATACCTGCATAGTGTTATTAGTGTTGGTGCAAATGTGTTTATATTTATTTATGTGTTGGTTAGAGTATTGGCACTGAGGAATGTGTGGGTTGGTGTATGTGTATTTATTGTTTTTTTTTTTTTTAAATATATATATATGTGTGGGTGTGTGTGTGTATGTATATATATATGAGTGTGTGTGTATATATATATATATATTAGGTGTGTGGAATATATATATATATTAGGTAGATGATAAGAGAAGAGGTTAATAATTGTTACGCTATATATATGTGTGTGCCTATATATGTGTGTATGGGTGTGTGTATATGTATGTATGTATATATATGTAAATATATATATATATATATATATATATATATATATATATATATATATATATATATATATATATATATATATATATATATATATATATATATATATATATATATATATATATATATATATATATATATATATATATATATATATATAAGTGTATATGTGTGTGGTTGTATATATGTATATATGTATGCATATATATATGTATGTGTGTATGTGTGTATATATATGTATGTATATGTATGTATATGTATATATATATGTATATGTATGATAAAATCACAGTATAATGGTTGGCCAGCATGATTCATGGGATTGGGTGCGACTGAGTAATGAATTAGTTCCTCACTGAGTGCCTCCTAATTTCGACTTTTACGCCTATATATTTGTATATATATATATGTGTGTGTGTGTGTATGTGTGTATGTATGTGTGTGCATATATATATATCTGTATGTCCTATTTTATTGTATATGTATATCTATATTTAAGTATATTTCTGTTTGTATGATTGTGTTTATATATTTGTATGTTAGACTATATGTATATTGGTGTGTGTTGGTTTTTGAAGGTATATTTATGTATCTATATGTTAGTACGTTTATGTATGTATTTGGTTGAGTGTTGTTGTATTTTTATGTATGCATGTGTATATGGTTAGTTGTTATTGTAGATAGATATTTTTATATATATGTTTATTTGTAGATATGTATGTATGTGTGTATATATATTTATGTATGTTTATGTGTATATATATATATATGTGTGTGTGTTAGCACCTATTATGTATGAGTTTGTTTGTGTGTATGTGGGGTATGGAAACTTTGGTATATCATGACTGTTTTTTATATATGTAAGTATGTGTGCATAAAAGTTTGTGTGTATATATGTGGGTGTATTTAGGTTTATATGTATATGTGCGTGCATGTGTACTTGTTATCATAGATATGTATATGTGTATATGTGTTTATGTTTATATATTTATTTGTATGCATTTCTGTATGTAAATATATATGTATATGTATGTATGAGTGTATATTTGTGTGTGTTAATTTGTTTTTGCTCCCGTGTATGTATATATATATATATATATATATATATATATATATATATATGTGTGTATATAGTTGTGTGTTTCTGTAGACTGTTTTTCCTTGCCTAATATATAATGAAACTATTATCAACTTATATGATTAATATATATTTTATTGATATTTATGGTTTTAGAATTTTCGTTTTAATATATTAAATAATATTAATTTTAACCATTTTTATCTTTGTATATTTGCTCCTTAAGTTATAATTCAATAAGTGGTTAGCATTTATTTAAGTCTGAAATATTTATTGGTTGTGATTTCTCATTGTCTGTCATTGTCTGTGGATGTATGTATGTGTATCTATCGGTGTCTATGTGTATGTAGAGTGTATTCACTGTGTGTGTGTATTAGTGTTAGTTTCCACGTCTCCCTTTTTTCATAAAAGGCTGTAGAGATGTTCATGTTTTTCCCCACCACCTCTTTTTTTTTTTTTTTTTTTTTTTTTTTGTGTGTATGTGTGTGTGTGTGTGTGTGTGTGTGTGTGTGTATGTGTGTGTGTATATCTAATTATGTCTGGGTGCTTATGTATTATAATCTGATTGTGTTTTTGTTGTCTTGACGTGAGTTTAAGACCACATCCACAAACTTTAAAATAAAAACGGAAATGAAAGGGAAAGGGGAAAAAATATATATACATGTATTATCAAATGACCGGATATATTGTAGCGTCCTTGTCGAACATAGTTTCAATGAAGAAATGAATTGAATAAACATATATATTTTTCTTTTCTCAATAATTTTGTAGTTTTAAACTTAATAGTGATTAAATTTGGATTTTAAAATTACCAATTTTTAATTTTAATATTAAATTTTATATGATTTTATAATTATTAGTTAGTATAAATTATTTTTAATATTACACGTATTTAAAGATCTGAATAGCTATTATAGCAGGATTTCGTTGTCAAGCTTTTGAATCTTTCTATACTTCGTTTTTGATTGGTTATTCTAGCTTTTGTAACAATGCTCCCCTAGTGTAGGATCGTTAATTAATCTGAAACTTTTTAAAACCATTTATTTTATTTTCAACATCATCACTTGAGAAGACACAGAATGTGTTGAAACAAAATGGCTATTTTTGTAGTGATCTTATAACATACTTATGTTATAATTTTTTATAAAAAAATTATATATATATATATATATATATATATATATATATATATATATATATATATATATATATATATATTATATATATGATTAATATAGAGAAACTTGTTACTTAACTATGTGGCATTAATTCAGTCATGCTGACTTCAAAGCTTCTCGGCGCATTGTTGTAATGCCTTCACTCTTCAGGGCTACTGGCTTCTGAAGCTTCTGAAACTTTCAAGTCGGCATGACCGAAATAACACCACTCAGTTAAATGACAAGTTTCGCTACATTAATTTTATTATCGTTTTTGATATCAAGCACTTTAAGACAAAAAAAAAAAACCTTCCTGCCTAAAATGTCTTTCCACCAATAAACTAAAGAAAAAGAATCACCAATTTAGGCACCTGAAAACTCTTACAATTTAATCATATTTCTCGGACATTCAGGCTGGTAAATATTGATAATACTATTTATCATAAACAGAGTATTTACTTAAATATTTGTATCTATAAAAATTATGTATAAACAATATATGTGTGTGTGTGTGTAACAATAATTCTGTTCTTATATATAATGAGAATTCCGAGCTTAAAAATATATTACATTGAAAGGATCCTTGAAAATGCTGTAACCCCTTAAATGAACTTCATTTCCATAAAAGAACTGTAGAGTGAAGTGACAATATTCATTAGTCATAAACATACTTTACAAACTATTAAAAATTAAAATTTTACATTAATATTTATATAATCCTAACTCCTAACATTAATTTTCAAGAAAGAAAAAAAAAAAAAAAAAAAAAAAAATGAAGATTCTTCTTTTAAGAATGAACTTTATTTCTCTTAAAATATGCATCAACTTACCTGATTTAAGGTATCGGCCAATGAATGTATACATTCAGAAAACATACTATGAGATCCTGTGTATAACCACGCCACAAACTTTACTGCTGTATTTATTGCATTACTATAGCAAAAAGAAATACTCATATGAATAAAACAAGGATACAAAATGACTACTTAAAAAGTTATTCAATATTTCATAAATGAATATGGCAAAAAAGTCAATGAAGCAAATAAGTTTTTTTGATTACAAAAATTTATCAAAAAAATAATTTAATACTTAAAAAAATATTAATCATTGTTTAACTATTTTAAAAATTATTTTTCAAAGATAAATCATCTAATATTGTGAATGACTGAAAAACAAAGTCATTTGAAAACACTGAAGTTGATTTTAAATTTTCACAATCTTAATATTTTTTTACACAAATAGTAAGCTTTTCTTGATAAATGAGTTTGTATTTTAGCAAGAAAAATGCACTTTAATTCAAATTAAAAAAAGTAACCTGTCAAATAATTTGCTAAAAGCCAATCTAAAATTTATATTAAGAAAATATAAAAAATTTATAAATGTTGAATACTAAAAAAAGAAAATCAAGTTTAGTCCAATTTTTATATGGTTATTTTAAGTGTAATATCTTCAAAGAAGAAAAAAAACACAGAATCCGAGGTTTTGAATTGTGTTAACATTCATTCTATTTTTCAAACATTCTCATTATTTTTTATCAGTTTGTTAGATTATCATCTGTTTAAGCAATTATTTATATGCAATGTTTAAAATGTATAAATTTATCAATGTGAAGCAATCAGAAATCATGTTTCTTGAGAAATAAATTAAAGAGAGAGGAAAGTCTGCATAAAAGTAACAATAAATAATATCTGCTAAAAATTCTGACAAGTTACCATAAATACCTACATTAATATTGCTGACATAACCACACTTCCAGAACCTGATTTCCAAAATTTTTCAGTTGGTATTTCCTGAAATTAAAAGGGTATATACATTTTTAAGTTTTATGATTAACTCAAAATTAAATAGCAAAAAAGCTTTTTAATTTCTCAAAAGCAACAACTCTGTAAACCAATATATTCATAAAGTTTATTTATACAATATAAACAGAACTGTTTAACATCGCTAAACTTTGAATATTCTGTAAAACAGAGAAAGACACTTAAAATAATAGATTTTACTTTTTTTATGAAATACTCATAGGGGAGGTAATAACAACAGCTAATTTAATTTATATAAAAACTGTTTTCACCAATTTTTAAAAAATTAAATATCATTTAAAAAATTACACCTGTTAATTTGTCTATTTACAATAATGAATACATTTTTTATAAATACATTATATAATAATGTTGCTTAATATCTGGGATTTATTCACGTAATAATGTTGATTAATATCTGGGATTTATTCACGTAATAATGTTGATTAATATCTGGGATTTATTCACCTAATAATGTTGATTAATATCTGGGATTTATTCACCTAATAATGTTGATTAATATCTGGGATTTATTCACCTAATAATGTTGATTAATATCTGGGATTTATTCACCTAATAATGTTGATTAATATCTGGGATTTATTCACCTAATAATGTTGATTAATATCTGGGATTTATTCACCTAATAATGTTGATTAATATCTGGGATTTATTCACCTAATAATGTTGATTAATATCTGGGATTTATTCACGTAATAATGTTGATTAATATCTGGGATTTATTCACGTAATAATGTTGATTAATATCTGGGATTTATACACGTAATAATGTTGATTAATATCTGGGATTTATACACGTAATAATGTTGATTAATATCTGGGATTTATACACGTAATAATGTTGATTAATATTTGGGATTTATTCACGTAATAATGTTGCTTAATATTTGGGATTTATTCACATGATAATGTTGCTTAATATTTGAGAATTATTCACGTAATAATGTTGCTTAATATTTGGGATTTATTCACGTAATAATGTTGCTTAATATTTGGGATTTATTCACGTAATAATGTTGCTTAATATTTGGGATTTATTGAATTTATTGTATGAATATTTAAGGATGAATACATAAAAATATAGACAACAAATTAATTTAAATATTTGTTTTAGCCCATGGGTTCTCAACCAGGGGGAACTTTAGGGTTTCACTGAGGATAATCTTACTTTATCACAAGTTTCCCATTGACTGTAATCTTCATCAGAATAAAATAGATTTAAATACCCTGACCTTTTATTGAACCTTTTGTTTATTGAATTACAATACTTTGGCATTCTATTGACTTTTTTGTTTACTAAAGCATGCTTCAGTTTATTTAATAATTAGTTATGGATTAAAACAAATTACTTTACATGTATTCAAGTTTAAAAATCTATCAACATTTTCTATTGTTATTAAATTTGTAAAATACCTCTATAAAAATAATCCATGTAAATGTATATGTACTAATATGGAAAAGAATGAAGATTTTAAATAATATATGCATATTATTTGGAATGCACATTTTGAATCTGACAATCTTGGAAAGGTCAGGCAGATGACATTTTGACTTATGGTGAAAAGGGTGCATCAGGCAAAAAAGGTTGAGAACCACTGTTTTATCCAAAATAAATGCTTAAATAAATTAAATATTAAAATATCTTCTGTATTAACTTATATTACTGTTTTTGATTGTTTAATAAGATTATATAATGTTGAAATCAGTGAAGGTCAAGAAATAGTCCTGTTACAATAGGCAATGAAAATAAAATATAAGAATTAAAATACATATATTAAAATAAATAAACAGTAATATGAATTAATACAGAAGACACCTACTATCTATATAAATAAATGCAAATGTCAGCATGTCACAGTTTTTCAACTTTACTTCTAGAGGCTATAGCCCAATATATATCATACCATTTTTTAATCAGGCCAGCTCCGTGAGCAAATTAAAAACATTTTTGGCCAGATCTGGACCTGCAATCCTGAAATTTGGGATTCCCAAGTTTTCATTACTGCAATTCACACATCAAATTGTCTTTAAATTATGTGGCAGCAGAAGAATTATAATTGAACTTTTAAAAGGTAAGCTTAGATATTAATGCAATACTTAAATTCAACAATCAATTTTGAGTTCTTCTGTAGTTTATTATTGCCTATCGCATACAACACCAATATGCCTCACAAAAAGAAATCTCTACCAACAGAGGACCAGATTGCATTTAAAAGAGCCAAGGCTGCAGCAAAGAAAAGAAAGTCCTGTGCAAATGAAAACCCAGATCAAACAGCAGCCAGGAGAGCTTCCAATGCTGAGAATATGCAAAGACTTAGGGACTCGCAAACTCCTCAACATGCCAAATGCCCAATCAAGAAGCCCTCACAAGAGCTAGCTAAAATGCCACCCAATAGGGCAGTTTTAAGCTAGTTTTTAATATTTATTCACACATGTATTTTCAATAGAACAAATATTTAAATGAGTTTGTTTTTCATATTTTTTTTATTTTTACCTGTTTTAAATATTCCTCAAATAAAACCAAAATTACATGAATGATGATAAATATATAGGGGAAAAAAATATTCATTATAATGAATAAATAAAATCAAATTAACTGGTATAATTTTAAGTGATACATGAAAAGAAACAAAAAAATAACATTATTTAGATATAAATTATTTTAATTTGCATTTCTACAGTTTTATTTTTTTGGTTAACTGAACTGTCTAAAGAAATGGTAATTTGATTTAATGCTTTTGATGAAGCCAGATTTCAAACAAATGAAACTCACTATTATGAACTGGAACCTTTTTATATCATGTACTTAACTTATTTTGGGAAAAGCATATTTCCAGAAAATTTGAATGATATTTCTAAAGTAAAGGAAATACATTTAATGAAACAAAATTAAAAATTACCTGCTGCTCTTCTTGCTCCTCAGATAACTCAAATTTTTTGAGCACTTCTCCAGTTTGTTGTTTATGTTGCTCTATGGCAGCTTTTAACTGGAAAAGATCCACTGAAGAGAAAAAAAAATAGAGAATACGAGATAAACCAGTGATATAAGAATACAATATTTTCTGCCATTTACAACCAACTTTGTTAATGTGATGAAATTTTAAGGTTAATCTCTACGTTTTTGATCAGCAGTATCTTCAGGTCATCAAATGCTAAAATAAAAAATTGCCATTTTCAGCAAAATGCTAAAAGCTAGACGATAAACAGAAAGAAATCGCTCCATCAAAATTTATCTCGTTTATAAACTCGATTTTATCAAAATAATATCGAAAAGAACAAAACTAGGAGTTATTTCCCTTGAGTCGGTGTTAGAGTAACGGCGAAGATGTATTGAGATGGCCAAAGACGCATTCCAAAAGCTAGGCAGAGTATTACGAGACAGGAGGATTTTGTTGGTAACAAAGAAAAGAGTACTGAACAGCTACGGCAATGAATGTTGGATGGTCTCTTCAAAGATGAAGAAGAGACTCGAGACAACAGAGGTATGATTCTACAGAAAGGATATCATGGACTGAACATGTGAGCAACGATGAGGTTTTAGAGAAGATGCAAACAAAGAGGAAGCTTATGCTTAACATCAAGAAAAAGCAGCTGAAATTTCTGAGATATGTAATGAGAAAGGAGGGCTTAGAGTATCCGATTCTCTCAGGGTGGATAGAGGGAAAAAGAGACATGGGAAAGCAACACATGACATACCACCTAGCAGGCTTAAGCAAGTGGATAACAGAACAGGGTTTGGGAGAAGTATCAAAAGGGCAAAACATATTGAGAACTACAAGGGATAGGAGGAAGTGGAGAGCCATGATCGCCTATGTCCTGAAGGAACACAGCACATAAAAGAAAGTATTGCATAGAGAAATAAAACAAGTATCAAACATCTGAATATAGAAAAAAAAGCATTTTTAATTTTATTTTTTTTTTTCTTACACTGTTTAAAATAACCAGTACTTTCCTATTATCGATATCATTGTTTTTACTAAACAATTATGTTAGATTAAGTCACTTCGGGAAACATTGGAAATATTATGACCTCCAGAATCTCAACTATAATTAATCTATTGGTATTCTGAAAATACTTTGTTTTAAAATTTTGGATAATTTTGCAGAGTTGGACTATCAAAATAATCATCTTTTTGTCTTATTTTTCTGAATGCATTAGTGATTAGATGTTAACTTAAAAGTACTACATTTTTTCGGTAAATTTCCAGTGTATGTGTAGCATAACAGTTATCAATATGGGAAGTGAAATTAGCAACCAAAGTTCGTATTCTACTCTAGTTTGTCACATTCCCTTTCAAACAAATGTCCTTGGAAAAGGCTTGAATCCATCTCGTCTCTCCCTAGCAGGGTAGAGTGAACATTCTAGGCTTAGGTGGTAATCAGTGTAAGAGAAGGAAAAATGAATTCCAAACTGTGAAGAAAATAATAAGAAACCACTCCATTATTTTTCCCCAAAATGGTATGTCAATTTGCAGATGAGAAAAAGCCATGATCATATATATCCTGAAAGGAATATTAATCTGGACATAAAGGTTTTCAAATATTTTGGCCTTTTTAATACTGTTATGCTTTTTTTCTTCTGAAAAGTCAAGAAGTGATTACAAATAAAAAGTACTTACATCGACCAAATCGTGCTCTCTCCATTTGAATGATCTTTTGTTTTTCTTTAACAATATTGTTCATGCTTGCCCATTTCTTCATAGCACTAAAGGAATAAATATTGTGCAAATCAATTAAAAATAAAGATTTTATAATGATAATAAAGAGAAAAATATTAACACAAGCCAAGTAATAATTTTTAAAATTATGATTGAAGGTTTTCTTATTGTCAGTTTATTTTTGTGAAAATTAAAAATTTGTAAACCTGACTCACTTATCGTAAATAAAAAAAATTTGAACATTTAATTTATCTAAGTTTTAAAAAATAATTTAAAATGATAAATGTTTAATAAGTTATCTGATAAAGCTAAAAAAACTTTAATATTTTTTATTTCTTTTTGAAGTTCATGTTTAAATTCTAAAATACACCTGTTGTTTATTTTTGGTAACCAAACAAGAAATTATGTTTCCAAAATCATCATAAACTCCATGCTAAGTAGACCTTACAGTTTCTGGGAAAGACTGCATAATCTAATGTGATCAACAATTTGAACAAAGCCAGTTTAAATAAAGCTCTTTATCAAATGGCTTGTGAATTTGTGCTAGCATAACCATTGATGGCTTCCAAACAGTTTCATCTACCCAACTTCACTCATAAGGCTTGGGTCAGCTTGTGATATGGTTTGGGAGCACTTCCCAATGATGTTAAATGCTGAGATCATCTCCTTAAGTCAATATTATCAAGAAGTCCTTCCTGACAAAATGACCAAGTTGAGATCTGAATCCAGATCTCAAACACTAATATTGTTAGAACATTAGTACTTGAACCATGAGATCTGGATTTGAATCCTGTGCCCACTATATATGATTTTGCTGTACTGAAACCTATGTACACAATATAGCACAAACAAAAGTATACTGATAACATTACACTAAGTGAACAAAAATTTTTTTAAATTACTGCAAAGCAGATGAAAACTCATTTTTTTCCTGCATTCAAATGGAATACAAAATTAAAATTACTATAAATTACTAATATGCCTTAAAATTAAATTCTTTTTTAATAAGTTACTTTAAAGGCTTTAAATTAGGTGTGTGATATCCAGATAATAAATTCATAATCTTGCAATATTCTCCTAGAAGCAGAAAAAAAATCAAGTGATAAAATAATTTTTAATAAGTGAATTTTCTCTACTCTTAAGTGTAACAAATAGCTCTTGGATACACTAAATTAAATGAAAAGTAACTACAAGAAAACATATTGGAAAAAAATCTTTTCCATTTACATCTCAGTTTGTGACAGCAACATTTACAAAGTCAACTTTATACACTGAACTTGGCCATCATATAAAAAGATCATTTTAGCATGAAACACTGAAAAATGATCTCATTGTAACTAATTTATAAATATATCAGTTCATGCCATACTGAAAAATGAAAATATCAACACAATTGACAAGGTTACTCAAGTCCAATAAAGATCAAAATTAGATTACATTTTTATCAAGCAACAAATTTCTTCATTGATTTAATAATATCTATAAGCTTTAAAAATGTAACTAATGGTAACTTACAGTTTTTCAACATCAGATCTTAAAAACATTAAAATAGGCATCTCCTTTCCATAGGGACTTCTTCGTGTGTACTTTGGCAGAACTGACAAATCTCTAAATAAAAATAGAAAAAATAGTTTTAAACAATCTGATCCTTACTCCTGACAAAATTATCAAATCAAAAAGGAGAAATATATTTGGAAAAAAAGTATAAACAGTGATAGTTTGAACTATTATAAAAATATCACAGGTTAATCTATGAAGAAAATAAAGTTGTTTCTAATCATAAATCAACATTCGTACTTATACCAGCTGCTGTTATAACAAACCAATAATTGAATTTATAAACTGAAATGTATTCCTTGAAAGACTTTCCCTTTCTGAATGCTTCAGTTTGTCATTGTTTAAATAGTGACCAACAGAATAATTAATGCTTTATTTAGTCTGTAAATCATAAATTTTATCAAATAAAACTTTTATTATATGTATTACAGTTTTATTTATTCAAGTAATAACTAAGTTTCCAGATTTTTTTCTTTTCAAACCAACACGTCTTCATAGAAAAATTGATGTTACTTCTAAACAGTTCTTCTCTTGAAACCAAATAGCTGTTTTAATAAAGAATTACAACAACAACAAAAAAAAGAAGAAATAAAAGATGGAGGGCTGAAAAGTTCTCAGCGCAACCCATTTCCCAAAATCAGATTTAAAAAAAAAAAAAAGAAGATATTTGTTCTGGAAAACCTTTTTTGGTTGGGATGAGAAATTTTTCAATTGTCAACTACCCAAGTAATGAACAGATGAAGCATTGCTTAATTTTGGTGACTTTGTGAACATACAAGCATGGCCCTCTATCCATCTTTCACCAAACTAGACAGGTTCACCTCAGAATTCTCATTTGTGTCAGTATAAACAAAAACTAGGAAAGGCCCAATATAAGTTCCCCAAAGGAAGAGAAGATGAAATATTGCCTCAACAAGAAAAAAAAGCACTAATCCTGTTATTAATTGCAATGAGTTCTTTATTCATGGATTCACCTGGCATACTGGAGAGGTAGCTAAATGACACTTGAGACATCTTTGTTATTACTTTTGTCTTCTCTCACAACAGACAAATGGACCAGATCTTCCCTCTGGCCAGCAAGAATGCCAACTGCCTCTCTCTGATTGCAACTACTGCTACCTCTTGACCACAAATGTGACTATCTACAACTCTGAATCCTCTCTGTATCTACAACCAACAACTTGTCACCCTCATCAATAGTCGGCATATTTCTCCATTCACTCTAACTGTGACTCTATATCTCTGGCCAACAGCCTGTTTTCAGGCATTTCCCAACAGCTAATATCTTTTCTGCCATTCTATTTAACTTCGCAACCAGAATTCCTTACCATCTGACTAAGTGGCACTTGCTCCCTAAAGTTTTCATTTATTAATTTATTTACTTAATTTCCTTTTATCCCACTTTCCCACTTGTGGACAGCAAGTGGTTGCTTTAAAGTCCTCATAGATTTCACTGGCAGTCATAAAACACCAGGTACTTCAGGTTCAGCTAAAACCATTTACAGTCCACTTTACTATGTGGGTGTGCCAATCCCAGCCAGGGACCCTTTGTGTCACAACATAACATAAAATGTTGCTTCTTAGATTATTCCAACAACCAGCACCAAATAATAGATTTGATAACAATCCATTACACCTTAGTAATTTCCAAATAATAAAATAAGTCCATTCAGGAATATATTTTTTTGTTTTTAATATTGTCCTAAGCAAATCTATACAACACAAGAAGCAATTTAAAATACCTTATATAAATAAATGCTAAAGAGATGGTAAGAAAAAAGCCAGTTTTTGTTAAATTTTGTTCATATACTTTCAAGTATTTAAGTGTGAAGCCTGTAACAGATTAGAGTCTTTCCACATGAATCCTTTGAGATCAGCTCTGTTAAAGAAATATAATATTTACATTCACTAATTGAACAGAGATTCTAGAGCTCTCATCATGCTAAGCAATGATGACTATAGAATACACCAACTAAATTCCATAAACAAAAAACAAATTAGAAAAGATTCAGGAATTTACTTTGGTGTTAGAAGAAACTCGTTCATTGCCCGCACAGGTAAAATGAAGACATTTCCCGTGTAACTGTAGTCAATAGATTTCTTTTTTTTTTGTGTTACTGGAAAAAAAGAAAAATAATCATTTAATATGAAAATAATAAAAGCAGAAAATAGAAAAAAAGAAGTCAAGCACTGTATTATTTTGTTAAAAATACTTTCAAGATACTCCCAACAAAAATTACAAAAATATGAAATATTTGCAAAATTATAAAAATATAATTTTTCCTTTTTAATTTTTTTAATCATTTTTCCCCAATCAAGGTAATAAAGCCACTAAGATTCAGGGGGTTAGTGAGGATGAAAGACATGATAAAATATGATAATTTTGCATTCAGAGAAAAAAAAAAAAACTTTTTATAAAAAGAAATAAAAGGTATTTCAATCTCCCATTTATATATATATATATATATATATATATATATATATATATATATATATATATATATATAAAATAGCTCTGTTATTTAACATTTAACTGGTTTTTTTTTCTTACACTATAGAGCATTTATATAGAATCACTTACTCATATACTTACTTATATTTACCCATTTACTCAGTTTATATATATATATATATATATATATATATATATATATATGTGTGTGTGTGTATATGTTGTGACGTAGAGGGTTACTGAATGAGGAATAACCAAAACAGGTTGGAAATGAAAGGGTAATCTTCATAACATCAACAAAATACAATACTCACGAGTGATGTGAAGTAGGTAAACCACTGCTAGTGGTGGACTACTTAGTTTCTTACCCCCACTTACAATAGTGTCCAACGTATTTATGTGGATTGGGACATACCCATTAGGTACAGTGTGTGTGTGTGCGTATATATATATATATATATATATATATATATATATATATATAAAACTCTTTATATAATCTCTTTCCATTAACCCCTTACATCCTTTTACCTATATATTTTAAAGTTATTTTTAAAGCCCTTTTTATTCCTCTTAATTTTAATTTAATATTTCATTCTTCATATAACCCCAAATTAATGTCATGCGGGTTTAATTTTATAAAATTTCTTCCCTTTAAGATAAATACCTTCCACTCTCCCCCTGACTTGTGTCTTTTGTGTGACTGAAACATTAAAATGGATAAATTTTGTTTTAATTTTTCGACAGGTTGAATTTTTTTTTTTAGCTTTCACAGTTAAATTTCTATTTCTGACATGAACTCAGTGCACACTGTGGTTGATAAGATAGACAACCAATATCTTTGTCTGCCAATTAGGCTATTCCCCATATGAGGTAAGTTTGGATTTTATTGTTTATTAATCATATTGCTCTGTAATAATAAATACATTGAGCTCTTTTTGTGGATCAGTTTTAATATTTTATATTATTAGGATCCACTTGGATTATATACCAAGAGATTTGTTACCTTTACTACATATAATCATAATCAGTCCCATGATGGGATATGGTCATAAGAGCACTGTTGAGCACTTAAACACTTCCCTCCACATATCTACATTGAATGACAGAGAGATATTGATTTATGCTTAGAATGTCTTGGGAAAGTAGAAAGTATACCTCTCCAAGTCAAATTACAGCTGACGTCATCCAAACTAAAGGTTCACCTTGGTTATATATATATATATATATATATATATATATATATGGCAATTGATTCTATCAGGAGAATCCTCCACTCTAGCCATTGACTTGATCCTAAGAAGCCCTCCACCCACCTATACCATGTCATCACCATATTGGCTCGATACATAGCTACAGAGGCGAGTCTACCCTATCTTGCCCTTCCCATTTCTTTTGTTTGGAGCTAATGCTTTGGATTATTTATAGTCATTACTTTTAGGCTGCTTTTTTTATATATATATATATATATATATATATATATATATGATTGATACAAATATGTCACTTAGCTGATGTTATTTTCAGCATTTTGACTCTAGAGTTTCACAGATGGACGCTCCAGCAATCACTCTGTCCACACGTTAGGAGATGTCACCAATTATATATATATATATATATATATATATATATATATATGTGTGTGTGTGAATGAAACAAATATATGTATGTGTGTGTGTGTGAGAGAGAGATGCTTTATTTATTTATTTGTTCTGCCATTGAACTTAGAAGTATCAGTTTCATAAATTTAAAAAGTATTTTAAATGGTATGACTAAAAATAAATTGTGAAGGCATTGCAAATTTTAATTCAAAATGTAGATCATCAAAATTAACCAACTTACTTTTTACAATTTTACCACTATCTTTGGCAGTTGCAGTGGGTGAGATTACAGGACCCTTCTCTGCTGGTTTGGAACCAGAAGGATCATTTTCAGAGCTACTACTAAGAAACCGGGAAACCAGAAAATGCCTGTTGGTCTTTGTGAATGGTTGACTATTGCCAAATAGACGAGCAGTAGCTTTCTTAGCACTACCTAAAATAGAAAGCAGCATATAATGATAAATAAAATTATTTAACTTTTCTTTATTCTAATGAATATGAATTAATCTAATTAATGTTTACATTATTATCAATAAAACTACATTATACTGCAAATTCAAAATTATTTTTCTGGATTATCAGTATCACATATGAGATAAAAGTATCATTTATTTTTTGTTAGAGCCACTTTTACAATTGCACAATAGTAATAGAAAAAGAAAATAGAAAAAAATCCATAATTGTTATAACAACAAGAAAATTTTATGAGAAATTAATGATTGACCAATTTATTTTTTATGGCTTTGTGGATGACTTAAAGCTAAAACATATTTTGAATTGTAAGAATAATTTTTTTCTGCAAGTGAATCTTGTATTAACAATTCTTTTAAAATGTTTTCTCCAGATACAAGTCCGACTATTTAACACAGAGCTCAAGGAAAGAAAATGGATACATATCTTTCCCAATAGTTTTATGTCTACATGAATACAACAAACCCAACTAGAAACTTTAAAAATTGCACAAGTTACGGTATATGTAAAGCAATTTCTCAGCCAACTTTAAAAATAATTTAATAGATTTTTTAATGACATATAAAATGGGTAAAATAGCAGGGTAGACCAGGCTCTCTAGCCTAAGAAACGGAAAACTCTGAATTCAAAACTGGAGTAGGCAATGAGAAACCACTCCACTATCATTACCAAGAAGGCATGACAATTCACAGATTCATAGAAGAGGAATCTAGAGACATCCATGATCACCCATGTAAAAATATATTCAGTTTATTAAGTAAAAAAAAATGTAATTAACTTTATTGAACAACATATTGCTGATTTTCATTCATTATCTTCTGCCATCAACTTTATGATTCCATCCCCCCAAGATTCAATACTCTACATGCAGTATTCCAAATATTTGAAATTTTTATAATTAAGAAAATACTGCAAACATTGGAATAAATAGCAATTTAAAAGGTGGAATATTTATCAAATATGGCATATGAATCAGAACTTCATACTATGGCTCTAACAATTTTTGCCTAATCACCAAAGAAATGTGGTTAAATGATATTCTGTTAGAATATTACACCATTTCTTTTAGCTAATTCCAGATGCTTTTTGATACCTTCAGTTAATGGAAGCAGTCTTCTTCTATATGCTTTGTCACATCAGGACATTGACAATCATAACTCTTCACCACTTCCTATTCTTTGTAACTCTTAGTAAGGTTTTTTTTCTTTCGTTATCTCTCCCAATCCCTCACCTGACATCCATTTACAGAAGCTTGTTAGGTAGGTTACTCATTGTTTTCCTCTGTCCCTCTTGGCTTCAATATGTCCTGTGGGTGTCAGATTCTCCAGACCCTCTTTCCTCACTATATGTCCTAGAAATTTCAACTATCTCTTTCTGATTCTAAGTATAAGTGTCTTTTTTGTTTCCATTGTCCTTAAAACTTCATTACACACGTGTTCAGGCTCTGAGATTCTCAGTATCCTTTTGTAGAACAACATTTCTTTTGCCTCAAGTCGCCTCTGTGAGGAGATTGTCCAACATTCACTGCTGTAGAAGACTGATATTAGATAACAGTTTACTATTCTTTTCTTTGTTTCTACTAAAATTTTCCCGATTCTTAATGCTGTGCCTCCTTTGGGAAAGCATCTTTTGCTATTCCAATAGAAACAGAACTTGTCCAAAATCAAGCATTTGATTCTCTACAAAAAAAAAAAAAAAAAAAAAAGATTGCTTTCCAATTCCACCATAAACAATGCATCAATTACTTTGGATGAAGACCAGCCATTGGTATGGTTTATTCCACTTGCCCCAGAATCTTTTACATTGTACATTGTAGTAGAGTATTAATTTTTCATCACCCATCATAATTTGTTTTTGTACAGATTAGTTACAGTTAGCTGTTTTTCCACTAAGTCTATATTACATGGACCAAGGATTGACCTCACAGTTACTATGCCACCAAATTCATGAGCATTGCCTCTATTTTCTCCTTTACTTATTGAATACATATGGTAGTTATATGTATCCTAGGCCTACTGAGGAGGCCATCATAGCCTAGATGATTCATCAATGTTTTCTTTTTTTAGATAGTAGTTTTACTCCATTCCAAAAAGTTTACTTTGGGAATTCTGAAAAAAAAGTATTTTCAGTATATTTAAGTAGCAAATTGCACATTAAAACATGAACCTTTTTTTTAATTTATTTTGCTTAATTTATGTAAGAGTCATACATCAAAGTAACTAGTACAATCAAGTTGGTGCAGATGACTTACCACACTTAATATGGATATTTTGACTATATTAGCTTTCCCCTATGTCATATGACACGGACTACACTCAAATAATGTCTTGATTTGATTGCTATCAACCTCAACTGGTCTACTTGAGTGATTCTAAATGGGGTAATGGTTAGCAAGCTAGTATGGTTGACCATGACAGCCGAGTTGCAAATCCAACTCTGACTACCCCATACTCTTGGCCTTATACCAAGCTAAGCTAAGTAAATAACAAACTCAACTAGTTCATTTAACTATGATGAGTTGTTCAGCAACAAATATCCAGTACAAAATTTTGCAAACAATTTTTGACACATTACCTCCTTCAATAAATGCTCATATGTTTCATGTGTTGGTGTCAAATTTTTATATTTCTTAAAATATAATAAGCATAAAATTTGCTTATTTTCTTCCATCTTCAATGTTAGAATCAATGAACAAAAATACACCAATGTTGAGATTTTTTAAATGCACACTATAACACAATCACAAACAATTTTTTTTTCAATGTAGTTAAAACTATATACTTCTGATACAATCTAATGACAATAACTTTGTGTGTGTAATTGAATAAACTTAATATATGAATCCAATACCTGAGTGAAATTTCCTACAAGACAAGAGAGCCAGTTGCATTAGTGGAGGTCCTGGCCCAGAAAGATTGTGGCTCAAATTCAGCATTGCATTACAGCAGTGAACACCTTTACCAATGTGAGATAGAAGAAGCATCTTGTTTTATCCACCTGAAATTGAAAAAAAAAAAAAAAAATTTATATATATATAAGCTGCAGCCAAAATGCATTAAAAAATTGAGAATGTATAAATAAAATACAATGTGACCTAAAGACTCATTGAACTAATCTAGCATAAAAATAAATAAAAAACAAATATATCTATATATCTCATATGAATGTTCAATAAAAAATAAATAAACACAAATAAAAGCAATAACAAAATAACATTGTTCACTACAAAATTAGTTTTCAATATTATCATGATAGAAATATTAACACAAGGTGTATAAAGGGGTGCTGAAAATGCTCCCAGCTGGACCAAGAAGGAATTAAGAAAAAAAAAATTCTGATGTTTGGTCAAATTTTATAAAGTAGATTGAGCTGAGACCTTTTCAGCCCCAACTCATATTTTCTTGCCTATTTTTCTGAGTAATTGGTTTATTTTATGACTATTTGTTCATTTTAATCAAAAGTTGATAAATTGACTATCAACTCAATAATAATCCTAAACTTTATTTCTTATTATAAAATTATTAAGCATCTCTCATTTTTTGCATTTAACAGTATGAACATCAGTCCAATATATTCTGATTGTCATATCTATGTTTTCATTCAGAATAGAAGATTCATTTTGCATAAATTGTGATTAAGTATATTAATTCATACTTCTCAAATTCTTATGAATATTGAATAATTTGTGTAAATTACACCCCAAAAATTTCAGAATTTATCCTTGTATTTTATTGAAAAATTATGAATGCATACAATTCATGAAATTGTATAGAGTATTAATAAAAAAGCAACAAATTAAGACATTTTTATTTTATGCGAGTCTTTAAAAACAAATGGTGAAAATTTATTGATATCATATAAAACAGTCTTTTATGATTAATACAATAGCATTAAGTGTCAAGATCTCATTAAATGGTTTCTTGATGAAGCTTACACTTAACCTCTTATTTGAAAAAACAGGTAAATAGGAAACTTGATAAAAGACACTGTTGTATAATGAAAACTTTTCATTAATATTCAAGGCATCTGCCTAAACAATTACCTTGTGTCAAGAGACATGAATAGGAATAGTTATAAAAAAACACCAGGATTTACAACCAAACATAACATTTAAAGCATATAAATGTTAAAAACTTATGTAATTAATGAATATACAGTAGGGGGAAACAAATATTCATACACGTACAAATTTTTAATTTATCATATTTCCAACTAATGAATAAACATACTTTTCATATAAATAACTTTACATGGATGCATAATAACTAAATATGCATTCTTTCTGTTTTCTATACATATTTAGTTATTATGCATCTGTGTATAGTTAATTATATGAAAAGTATGTTTATTCATTAGTTGGAAATACAATAAATTAAAAATTTGTATGTGTACGAATATTTGTTCCCCCCACCATATATTATATAAGCACATTAATAAATTATTTAATAGAACCTGAACTCTTTGCCTATTACCTTCTCCCCCATCCTTCCCTCTGTTTTTGTTGTCCTTTTTTGTGTTTATATGTAATAGGAGTAGGTAGTCTCTCCTACCACCCGGTCAACACTCTTCCCCCTTCTCTTGGACATGAGTAGAGGCTTATGCCTTGTTTCTTGTCTAGGAAGGGGTTCCCGGTACTCTTTCTCTCTCTGGCCTCTGTATTAGTGCAGCTCTTTTTCTCCAGTGATGTGTGCAGTCTGCGGCATTCTGAGGGTACACGGTTGACAGTTCTCTGGTTGCTGTTTCTGACTGGTAGTCAGGAGCCCTAATTCTTGCGTAGCGTCTTAAGCGGCCGCTCTGATCAACAGTTGTATAATACCGGGTTGTTTGTAGTGCCATGTCGCACATGGAAATGTGTCCCTGCAGTCACCTCCAGTGGGCAACCCTGAGGCCACATTATGATGCAGGTTGTGCCAACTCCTCTCTGCCTACTTCACGGCCGAAACTGTCTGTTTCTTTTACTTCGGGCCTTCTCATCTTCCAAACAAAATTCCACATGACTTACAAAAACCAAAAAAGTAACCCTAAACCAGCCACTCAAAAATCACCTAAACCCCTCAACATTTCGTTCTCCAACATCCGTGGCATTAGGACTAACTTCTGCAGTATGGAATCTTTCCTCACTGCAAACTGCCCGGATATACTGGCTCTCTGTGAGACCAACCCTCTTCTGATCTCTCAATCTCCGGCTACCTTCCTCTCCTCAGAAAAGACTCTCTAACCCACATGCACAGTCTTGGTGTCTACGTCAAGGAACATCTCCCTCTGGCCAGAGAGTTCTCTCTCGAATCGCCAGACAAGTCATACATGTGTCTCCGACTATCTCTCCTCAATGCGGTAAGCTATCTCTTCTTCCTTTACCGCTCTCCATCCTCTCATGACTGTGCGATACTCAATAGCATTTCTGACAGCATAGACAAGGCTCTCTCCCTCCACCCGTTTGCTCACATTTTTGTGTTTGGCGACTTTAACACCCATAACACCTTGTGGCTTAAGAATGCTACTACTGACCACACAGGCATTCAAATGCTCAATTTTTCAATCTCTCATTCCCTCACACAGATAGTTAACTTCCCCACTAGTTTTGCCTTCAACCAGGAAAGTAAAGCCTCTCTTCTCGACCTGTATTTTACCTCCATCCCCGAGTCCTGCAGCGCCTCTCAACTCTGCCCTCTTGGTAACTCTGATCATGCGGTAGTATCTGTTAGCATCTCCTTCAACTCCACTCCCTATAAAGAACCTCCTACCACTAGAACTTCGTTCTACTATCAACGAGCTGACTGGGACGTGTTCCATTTTTTCCTCCGTGATGTCCCCTGGGATGGAGTCTTTACACTCTCCGTCCAAGAATGTGCTTCTGAGGTCTCATCCTGGGTTAAAGCTGGAATCGACGCTTTCATCCTATCAGGGAAATATAGGGTCAAGTCGCGCTCCTCCCCCTGGTTCTCCGCTGCTTGCTCAGCCGTCATCGCCCATAGGAACCACTACTTCCACCTATTCCATAGCGACATATCTGACTGCAATAGATGTCTCTTTGCCTCCTCCTGTAACGAGTGTAAGTGTGTCTTCAACGATGCTAAGTCATTATTTGCAGCTCGGATGAAGGAGCATATTGCATCTCGCAAATTTGTCTCCAAAGATTATTGGCGTCTCTGCAAGAGCGTATTGAACAATTGCAAACTCTCTATAACTCCTTTATTCAACCAGTTCAAATTCCTGACCTCCTCTACGAACAAGGCTGAATGCTTTGCTCGGAAATTTTCATTCAACTCAACGCTCAACTCTTCCGGTGTACCCATACCCGACTTCCCTCTTAGAACTGAGGCCCTATTGAGTGGGTTAAACATAACCCCGTCTTTAGTATTGGGCGTTATCTCTAATTTAGACCCCAACAAGGCTAGTGGTGGTGACGGGATACCAGCCATTGTCTTGAAGAAATGCGCGCCTGAATTGGCACCCGTCCTTTCTAAACTATACAACTACTGCCTCAAGGAATCTTGTTTTCCTGACTGCTGGAAGTCCTCTTTGATTGTTCCTGTCTTCAAGAACTCTGGTGACCCCTCTGACCCTTCCAACTACCATCCTATCAGTCTCCTTCCCTTCTTCGGCAAAGTCTTCGAAGCTCTAATCAATACCGAGGTGGTTAACCACCTCACATCCCATAATCTGCTCTCAGACAAGCAATATGGTTTCCGCTTTGCCCGATCTACAGCTGATGTGCTTACAGCCATCACTGAAACTGTCTACCGAGCTCTTCAAAATAACGGGGAAGCCTGTGCCGTGGCACTAGACATCTCCAAAGCATTTGATAGGGTTTGGCATGCCGGCCTTCTTCACAAGCTCCAGGGTTATGGCATTACGGGCCGATTGTATAACCTAATACAATCATTCCTGTCAAACCGTGAATTGAAGGTTGTTCTCAACGGTTTCTCATCCAGTTCCTATCTCATGAACGCAGGTGTTCCTCAAGGCTCCATCCTAGGCCCCACTCTATTCCTTATCTACATAAATGACCTTCCTGACGCCATAAATTCCCAAGTTGGCATCTACGCGGATGACACCACAATTTATTCCTGCCTCAAAAACAAATCTAGTGTCACGGACAAAACTAACCTGGCCGTGCGTCTCGAAAAGGACCTCCAATCGGTTGTGAACTGGGGCAAGAATTGGCTGGTCAACTTCAACGCTTCTAAAACAAAACTGCTCTCTATTAATCACCACAGAGATCCTTCCCTGCCCTCCATTAGAATGTCTGATGCTCAACTTCTCGAGAGCAACTCTCTGCGGCTGCTTGGTCTCATGCTGACTGCTGACCTAAGATGGAATAAATACACTGAGTCAATTGCTTCGTCCACCACAAGGAAAGTTGGCTCCCTGTGCCGTGCCAGGAAATTTTTCTCCCTGGAATCAATCCTCCAGATCTACAAATCAACAATTCGCATGGAGTATTGTTGCCATATATGGTCTGGTGCCCCTTCTGTTTGCCCCTCTGTTCTTGATAGGCTCCAGAGGCGGATATGCAATGTAGTTGGTCCTGCTCTGGCATCTCGTCTACAGTCACTTTCTCACAGACGTGCCGTTGCCTCCCTCTGTCTGTTCTACAAATACTTTCATGGAAATTGCTCCTAGGAGCTGCATTCACTGGTTCCCAGATGTCATGAGTTCAAGCACCCTACGAGGATGGCATCCCGCTCTCACCCCTTCACTGTCGAAACTCCTAAATGTAGCCGCCTCTTCTACTCCAATAGCTTCATGTCTCGCACGCGTCTACCTGTGGAACTCCCTTCCCTATTCCAGTTTCCTGAGAGCTATAATCTCCAACTATTCAAATGTAATGTCAATCGACATATCCAGTTGCCGTCATCTATCCACTATCCTTCTCCTCATCCTTTCCTCTATCACTCCTATCTGATCTTGCTCCAAATTTTCTGTAACCCCTTGCATCCTAGTGGCTTCTCACCTTGCTTGGGGTGAAATGTTTAAAAAAAAAAAAAAAAAAA